CCAATTATAGTTCACAATACTTAAATTGAAATTAAATTTATCCATACATATGATTTTATCATTAACATATATATTAAAACGTATACATTAAAATCAACTTATGTTGAGTTCATTGATCGACGGAATCGGCCAAGAGGGGGGTGAATTGGCAATTTATTCAATGTCACATTTCAATGCTCATTCCATACAATTTCAATGTCACAATCAACTTATCACTTCACATTTATTCAATTTATCCATAACATTTTATCTAATTTATTCAAACTTCACATAATGTTTTAATTTAAGTTATTCTTAACTTGCTGAACTTTCAAAAGAAGTTAAATTTTGGTTATAATTTACCTGATTTACTGATATATCTAGTGTCCCCGAGGGATATGAGTGACATAATAGGGCAATGATAACATATTCTATGACAAAATAATGGAAGGCGCGCCCCCGGGAACGCGCCTTCATGTCCCCTGAGAAATAATAGGTACTGATATATCTAGTGTCCCCGAGGGACATGAGTGACATAATAGGGCAATGATAACATATTCTCTGACGAAGTAATGGAAGGCGCGCCCCCGGGAACGCGCCTTCATGTGAATAGTGAAATAATAGGTACTGATATATCTAGTGTCCCCGAGGGACATAAGTGACATAATAGGGCAATGATAACATATTCTCTGACGAAATAATGGAAGGCGCGCCCCCGGGAACGCGCCTTCATGTGAATAGTGAAATAATAGGTACTGATATATCTAGTGTCCCCGAGGGATATGAGTGACATAATAGGGCAATGATAACATATTCTCTGACGAAATAATGGAAGGCGCGCCCCCGGGAACGCGCATTCATGTGAATAGTGAAATAATAGGTACTGATATATCTAGAGTCCCCGAGGGACATGAGTGACATAATAGGGCAATGATAACATATTCTCTGACGAAATAATGGAAGGCGCGCCCCCGGGAATGCGCCTTCATGTGAATAGTACTCCAATTATAGACACTATTATATGCAACATATTATAAACTTTCAAAACAAACTTCAGTTCACAATCTTTCAAATTCTCAAATTCCCAAACTCTAAATTCTCTGAAAATGAGTCGTCTTTCTGCTGTTGTTTTGTATGATGGAGAAATTAAGGAAGCTGAAGAGGGGGTTGTTTTTGAGTCAGATCATTATATCCCCTTAACCTTGAAGAGAAACATCACAATTGAGGAGTTAATCACAAAAATTTCGTTAAAGATTCGTGTAGCAGGCCAGAGAAGACTATCTTCACTTCAGTACAGATTTCCTACTGAACTTTTTCTGCTCACGTATACATCATTTCAGCTTTCAAATGATGATGATGTTTCTATGATGGTTGATGCTCATATGGGGAGTTCACAATCTCTTATTGAAATGTATGCCACTTTTATTGAGGTTCGTGCAACTCGTGGTCTCTCATATTCCTCTCATTTTGGCATTGCATATCAAACTGATCAAGTTGATAGCCCGACACAACTGATCTGTAATGATTTCACATCATTAATGGCGGATCCAACGCCATATACCATGCCATCAAGTTCAATAGGAAGGCATTCATCTGCAACTGCTTATGATCTCAACCCACGTGGCTTCACCAATAATCCATATGGCAACATCTCTTCTACTTCAAGGGGCAGACATTCATCTGCCAATGTTTTCGACTTACATATGGAAATGCCAACGAGACGACAGTCTATTCACATCCCACATGATACAATGGCCTCAAGTTCAAGGGGAGGACACGCAAGCGGGAACTTATTTGACCTCAACATTGGATTATCGGAGGAACCCTCATCTCCACCAGAAGAACCTCTTCGGGAGCCAGGTGCAGATGGTGCTGAAACGGGATTATTCGTTGAACCTGACTCACCACAGTTTAACGTACATTCTGATGATGACGAGGATGACGTTCCGATAAATACAACACCAGCCGAACTTCCTGCACATATGTATGAGGCTGATTATGATGCAATGTATGAGCCTGAATTTCCAGATCTTCCTGATGTTGGCAACTATGGACTTCAATCATCAGTCAATGACGGTAATTTACATATTGGAATGGAGTTCTCATCGAAGGAGGAAGCAATGATGGCAATAAAGAGTTACAATATTCGTAACTCAGTTCAGTCCCGAGTTGATCGATCTAACACGGAGAAATATGTCTGCTACTGCGTCCAACGTGACAACGGATGTCAATGGATGGTCCGTGTATTAAAGAGGAAGAGGAAGAACAACTTATGGGAACTAACCAGATACAACGGTCCTCATACATGTTGTGTAACAGGTATAAACCAGGATCATCCCAACTTGGACTCCAACATTATTTGTCAAGCAATCATGCCCATTGTGAAGCAAAGCTCTCATATAGCTGTTGCAGTGTTGATTTCTGCTATACAGTCACAATATGGGTACATTGTCTCATATAAAAAAGCGTGGTTAGTAAAACAGAATGCCATTTGCAAACTTCATGGCGAATGGGATTCCTCTTACAACGAGCTGCCCAGTTGGTTTCATGTTGTGCAAAGACTTAATCCCGGGACAATTGTTGAGTTCGAAACTCAACATCATTACGTGAATGATCGAATGGTTCGCGATCGCTGCCAATTTTACCGAGTCTTTTGGACTTACCCTCAGTGTATTAATGCAGTCAAGTACTGTAAACCAATTGTCCAAATTGATGGTACTTTCTTGTATGGGAAATACAAGCAAGTTTTATTATTGGCTGTGGTCCAAGATGGAAACCGCAATATTCTTCCTGTTGCGTTTGCCCTCGTTCAAGGAGAAGACACTGAGTCTTGGGCTTTTTTCCTTAAAAATCTACGTTTACATGTTGTCACCAGGGAACGAGTATGCATTATTTCAGACCGAGGAGCCGGGATAAAAGCAGCAATGGACTCTTTGGGTACAATGTATAGACCTCCACATGTTCAACATCGTTATTGTGTCTGTCATATTGCTGCAAACTATTACGGAAAATACAAGAAGAACGATGAACGTCAGTTAGTCGTGCGGATGGGTATGTTACTTTTTCCCAATTTTTCTATCAATTTCTTATTACTTATTTATACTTCATATTAACTATTACATATTCCTAATGGCTTAGGTTACGAACTCTTACCTCAAAGGTTTGAGTCGATGCTACAAGAGCTGTTTGGCAAAAATAAGAAGGGGTGCGAGTACATTATGGACATCAGCAAAGAAATGTGGACAAATGCATATGACGGGGGGTATTGCTATGGTCATATGACAACAAACTTGGCTGAAGCAATAAATTCAACCTTAAAGGGGGCGCGTCATTTACCAGTCACGGCGTTGGTTAAAACGACTTATTTTCGTTTGGGTCAACTCTTTGCAAAGCTAGGTGGACAAGCTCTTACTTGGATGCAAAACGGACATATTTACCACCCAAGACTAGTAGTTGATTTACAGAAAAAAGTGGCTGCATCAAATGGGATGTTAGTTATAAATTTTTCTCGCACCCGTGAATTGTTTCGTGTAACCGAAATGCCACGTCCCCTGCAAGGGATTGAAGCTAACTCTTTCAGAGTTAATCTACAAGAGAGGTGGTGCAATTGTAGTTTCTTTCAAGCACTCAAATATCCATGCTCTCATGTCATTGCTGCTTGCTCACATTCGCATTTGGACTACAAAAATTATGTTGATCCCGTATACCAACTTTCACAAGTATTCAAGGTATATGAATTTGAGTTTCCGCCCATAGGAAACGAAAGAGACCCAAATGAGATTCAAACTTGGCTTACAATTGTACCAGATCCATTGCTATTGAGGGACTCAGGTCGTCAAAAATCTACTAGAATACATTGTGATATGGATATTCGGGAGAAGTCAACAGAACAAAAACAATGTGGGCATTGTAGAAACATCGGGCACAATAGAAAAAAATGTCCAGCTTTGTTATCATCATATAACCGTTAACTCTTATGTAATTAATATTGTATTTAAATGAATGTTTTTGTTTCTAATAATTTAATGTTATTGCATTTATATAATTTGTCAATGTATGTACACCTAAATAATTTTTTTTAACTTTTAAATACATAAATATATTTAATATATTTATTTAATATAATAATTAATATTATTAGTTATAATTTTTTTAAAATATAATAATAATTCCACCTTCTAAGTAGAGGAAAATATTAAATTAAACAAATTAAAAGTTATTAAAAAATTTATGTATATGATGACACATTTCATGTTATGATTGGAGGATTAAATTTATTAAATTAAATTTTCAATAAGACTAATTTTATAAAATATGTAAGTCTTGAAGATTAAATATGTAATTATACTAATTTATTAACTTATGCATCAATATTTTCGTTAAATATTGATATGAGATGACTAGATTGATAACATTTAAATAATTAACTGATAAAATTAATAGATCGATGATCAAAATCAAAAATAATAATATAACCATATGTGTAATATTATAATTTCATACATTTTTCCTATAACTACAATAAAGTCAAAATTGGTTTTCATATATTGTTATATTATATTAATGTAGATAATTCACTCCACCTTTAACACACATTAACAAAATACATTTGATAATTCTTACATTATAATCGAAACATTTTACATAATATATTATTAATTTATAATAATAAAAAAAACTATTTATTATTAAACAAAATACGTGTCTGCTGAGTTGGCAAAGGCGTGTCCCCGGGGATGCGCCTTCCACACGTGGCATCCAACTCAGCGAAAACACGGGTAAAACGCGTCCCCGGGGACGCGCCTTTGCCAACTCAGCAGAAAGAGTGTTACTTCTTGAAATATTAGTCAAACAATATCAGGAAAAAAATTTAAAGAAAATGGGTGTCGGTTATGTCAAATAGCCACTATTTTATGGTCCTACGTAGGCAGTTTATGAAGTATTTTTCTAAATAATGGTACTAGGGACATTTTTTTCAAATAATTATTTAATGGGCTTTTTAATATAAAAATGCCCGAAGTGAATCCCATTTAAATGTGCTTGTGCACAAAATCTAACCGGAGATTTCTCTTACAAAATGGATATCCACCTAGTTTCCTCGACCGACTCGGCCGAGTTCACCCATCTGACTCGCACCCTGTCTCAATCCACAATCATCGGACTCGATGCTGAATGGAAGCCCGTTCGTTCCCAACGGTCCACTTTCCCCACAGTCACCCTCCTTCAACTCGCTTGTCAACTCGGGGACGACTCGGCCGGATGGGACGAGTCGGTTGTCTTCTTGCTCGATCTCGCCTCAATTCCCCTGCCCTCGATATGGGAATTGATAAGGGACGTGTTTGTTTCACCAGATATATTGAAATTAGGTTTTAAGTTCAAGCAAGATTTGATTTTTTTGTCTTCCACTTTTTGTGCTCAAGGGTGCAATCTCGGCTTTGACAAAGTAAGTTTTTTTTTGCCTTTTCTTTTCAAATTTGGTCAAGCATATTGTCATTGTGAAAATGGGGTGAGGATTTGTCTAACATTGGTGAATAGGTGGAGCCTTATATGGACATCACAAACATATACAAGTTTTTGCAAAATAAAGAAGGGAATAAGATATCAAAGAATACAAAGAGTTTGTCAGCAATTTGTGAAGAAATTTTGGGCCTTTATCTTTCAAAGGTATGGCTTTTTAGGCACCCAAGTTTTCATTCATTTTCTTAAATTTCGTTTTTTTTTTGGTAATTTTTGTTAGGTTGAGTATCCAGAATCCTAGTGGTTAGTGTTTTGTGTGACAAATGCAGGATAATTCCATTTTATCTTGCTTTAATTGTGATATAATGCCACTGAATTTTCTATGTTTTAGTGGTTGTTTACTAGCTCACACCAATATGGTTATGCGTAAATATTATCCTATAATTTGGTTTTTTTACTTTTACAAGAATGATACCTTTTCCAATTTTGTCAAGGGCGCAAGGAACACTCTAGGCACTTAAAACCTTATATTGCCTCAAGAGCAAGGCACAAAAAAACATTAGCCCGAGTGACGTAAAGCACAATATATACATGCTTGAGTTTTTGTATGATATATGTATACTGATATATAGCTTAAGATATATAATAAACTCGAAAGTGGAGTCTAATTATCTACAAAACATGTAAATTTTTGGCAGTCAATATGCATGATTTTCTTATGGTCAGTGTTTGGTGTTGAATGGTCAAGTATAACGAAGTATAGATTTTGATATTAACTTTTTCTTACTAGAAAGGTACTATATCAAATGTGAAAAAGTGGAATAAAATAAATTAAAGAGAAATTCAATCAAGCAATCCTTTTTATGCCTATTGCACCTGGTCGTGTGGGCCTAGCCTAAAAGGGTCTGTGGCGCATTTATTGAATAATGCTAAGGTGCAGGCACACCTAGGCACACGCGTCAACAACATTAATTTCCCTTCCTGTTCGCTTCGTATAAAGACAAGAAAGATGAGGGTGATGTAAGTTTTCCACTTTCCAAAACTTGAATGGTGGAAACAATTTGGTTCAATTTCTTTTCCACTTATTGTTTAAGCTTGAATTAACCACTAAACTTGGTAACTTTAAGAAAGGAACTTGGAACTTGCCAGGTTCTGTAGTTCCTGTAGGATCATGTGGCAATTTGTTAATTTAATACTCAAATATTTTCTAGGAACTTCAATGTAGTGATTGGTCAGAACGTCCTCTTACAGAAGAGCAGATAAGATATGCAGCTACAGATGCACACTGCTTGCTTGGATTATTCAAAATCTTCCAGGCCAAGGTTATCAAAAAAGGTGAAGTTGAAATCTGTAATTTGTCATCAGATTCCTTATGCTATTAGCATAACTGTATATTTGAAATGCTTGTTTATCCATCCCAGCTAATGAACATATAGGAAACCTAGACATAGTGTTTCCTCTGAGTTTACCGTCTATAGTATTTTGGCTGTGAAACGTATCTTTTAGAATCACTGGATTGAATCACGTGCATTTTAGACTGTTACCTCTTTTAATCTGTCATCCCTTTATGCATATAATTCCTGGTATTACATACTTTGCTGCTAGAGGAAATTATGTGTGTGTGTGTGTATATATGGTATCTGTATTACTTTTCCACATGTCCTATGATAATTTTGTTTTGCAAATAGGACGCTAGAAGATTGTATGTAATCAAATTTCTGCTTTTTCATTGGTTATGTTAATGGATGTTGAATGTTACTGCACAATTGTAATGAGTATGCGCAACTGTAAAATATACAGAAAGACTTGAGATGTTTTGCAGGGTTCTCTGAAGAGTTACATTGTTTCATGGCAGTTTGGACATATTTTCTCAAAAGCAGCTCTAAGCCGTAACATCTATCAATATAACCTTTTTGGAACCTGTTCCTGCAACAGTGAATTGGTCAACATAAAGAAAAATATCATACAATAATAAAATGCAAGGTCTAGACAATATTTATGTCATCTTTTTAATATATATGTTCAGTTTGTTATGTTAAAACACTGTGTATAGATGGTACGTTCAATGACCCCATGCAAACCCAAATTGTCCCTGTTCTGCTGCTTTTGGTATTCTGGTTTAATTAAACAAATTAAAATAGGTTCCTATCATGTTAGATTTTAGACATCTTTCTCTGCACGCTGTGTGGCCAACTTTCTTTCTCTCCTGATGGATTTTTCCCAGTGTATGCTAGTGCCATAATGTTGTCCCGTACCTTGTATCTCAAGTAATTGCTGAGGTTCTGGTTGTTCTTTAAATACTTCCTTTCCATTTATTGAGCATTTCAGTGGAAAATCATGCTTTATTAGTTGAGCTTCTTTATGAACAAGGCATTTGTTATCATTATCCCATGAGATTCTTATTTACTTATCCAGTTTCACTGAATTATTTTATGAGTTAGGTTGAAAACATCTGGACCACCTTTTATAACAGGGCATTCATGTAATAATGTTGAGGATCAGCAGCAATATGATATTAATTTAGGATTGAAGGATATCCTCGAGATGCCTGATTGTGAGAATAAGCTTGTCGGGACAAAATTTTGCAATGCAGCGGAAATTGTCCTAGCCACTGCTTGTTCTGAAGAATGTGAAAGAATAGCCAAGGGAGTGGAGGTCATCAGAAAAACTAAGCCTATGGATGAATCCCTCTGGAAGATAGTAAGCAAATATGGAGAAAAACTTATTTTGCGAGAATCTGATAGAACTCCTAAAACTTCCAGAAAGAAAGGAAGAAGACGGTCCTCAGTGGCGGTTGTTTGCAAAGAAAGGCAGCTAGATAATTATGGTGATTGGCAAGACCCCCCACCATGGGATATTTCCTTGGGGGGTGATGGAAGCCCTAAGTTTTTGTGTGATGTTATGGTAATGAATTTGTTTAATTGTTCATTGTGTAATCTGCAATGAAATTCTCTCATTTTTCATCAACAATTTAGCTTTACTCTAGGAATCCTTCAAATCATTATCACTGTTTATATTGTTGGTGGGAGTATAACACGGTACTTATTTAGGTTGAAGGCTTGGCGAAACATCTCCGTTGTGTTGGTATAGACGCTGCAATAAGCCAGAACCCAGGTTGTCCTCTCATCTTAAATTTGATACCTTTTCTCTGAATATATATTACCAAGGGTATTAATCTTTTTATCAAACTTTGTTTGCATTTAGGGAGCTAATAGATCAAGCATACAAAGAAAAGAGAGTGCTTTTAACACGAGATGCCAAGCTATTGAGACACAAGTATCTGATAAAAAATCAAATATATAGAGTGAATAGTCTTCTTAAAAACGAACAGCTACTTGAGGTGTGTATGCAATCATAAGGAGATTTAAGATCCTGCAAGTTCTACTTTATATTTCTGAGGCCTAAAACTAAGGGAGTGTATGCGTGGGTCAAAGTAAAATTAAAATGAGAGAATTTACTCTAGGCCTAAAATTCATTAGTTGTTTTGTAGGTAATTGAGGTTTTCCAATTGAAAATTAGTGAGGATCAATTGATGTCAAGGTGCACGAAATGCAATGGGAGATTTATCCAAAAGCCTCTGACAACAGAAGAGGCCATTGAAGCTGCGAAGGGTTTCCAAAGAATTCCGAGCTGCTTGTTTGACAAGAATTTAGAGTTTTGGCAATGCAAGGACTGCAACCAACTTTATTGGGAGGTAGTTTATTGCTTCTTTCCATGTTTCTTGATATGAGTTTCTTTTCCGACATGGATAAAACATTGCAAGGCTTGAATCTTGGATCTCTATCTACACCCATCCCCATTGCCAATCATTTCAGCCACATTAAAGGGTCTTGTTCATTAGATGGTTATATCACTTAACAATGTTATTTTCTGAATGCCCAACGTTGTACACATGCGCACCAGGGTCAGGGTATTTGAACTTTGGACTTCCAATGGTCGAACTTGCCCCGGATTAATACTTTCAATGACAATTTTGTCAAATCCTTCTGAATGTTAGATCGGTCTCAGTTTGTAAAAAATAATCTGCAATAATAGTGACTGACTATATGTGAAAAAAATAATCTGCACTAATGTTAGATCGGTCCCGCATTTCAAAGGGGATAGTTTGACAAAAACCATGGCGATGTTGAGTTGATAATAATAGTGAGCTTAGGATGACCAACTGACTATATGTGGAAGGGGTATTATCCAGAGGAGTCCTCAGCGCCATCACCTTCCCGATCATAATTTTAATTTTAAATGGCAAAGAATTGATCCCTCAATATCTTTTCTGGGGTTTCTCTAAGTTAATCCCCATACCAGCATTTGTAAGAGCAGCCGAACTCTATTTTAAGGCAGCAAGTGAGAAAGCACTCGAAGTTTCTGAGGACTGTTTCTGCTTTTATGAGGAACATCGGGTAGCCTTGAACTTAGAACTCTGTGATCCTATGGTGTAGTTTTAGTTCTAAAACTGTTGATCTGTCGATAAATTATGGTTTCTAGCAATGCATGTGTTGTTTATGTAAGTTATTAGCAGTTGGTTTGGTTTTGTTACAGGGAACCCAGTACCACAATGCAATTCAGAAGTTCATCGATGTCTGCAAATTGAAGGAATGATATGCAACTTGGAAGAACACTAATGTGATTTATATACAATCATGTGTTGTCAACATCTTCTATACAAACTTTAAATGTATGATCGAGTTTAATTCGTTTATTAATTTGATTTACAATAGTTTTTAATATCGTATATGAAGTTTTGTATGATTCTCATCGATATTGAAGTTTTTTAAAAATATATTTAATGGTTTAATTTTTCTTTTTAATATCAATTTTATAACTTGTCATTGGAAACTGATGTTATCACCATCTACTATGAACCAGTAGAACAGCTTCACTGCATTTGCTCTCACTCTCACCATTTGGTTGTTTATCTCACATAATTGAACCAATACTTGGACGGCAGGAAGCTGATGATCAAATAAACATTTTGAATAACGTAAAATATTATATATAAATTCCTCAATTCATCGGAAAAACGAAAAAGAAAAAAAAAAAGTGAAGTAGAAGATGAGTCGGAATCAATGGGATTCCCTCAAGATATTGTAGTCCACTATTTTGTTTTTATATATATCGTAGTCCCTTCTACTACAAAAATCAAAAATTACAATACTCCATCAAAGTAGTAGGAATTGCTACAGTATACGGGATGGAACTACCAATGTTGTTTCTTCAACCTGCATAGAAACCTTGGTGCTCTACAGGCTCGTCGGCTTAACATCGCTCAATCATTCAGTGGCTCAGACTCGGGGTCCATTGCTGTCCAACTTTCCGTCTCTGAAAGTAAAAAAGAACAACCAAAAGTTTGAGGACATAATAGCCTCGAAAATGCATGGAAAAATGGCAGGAAAATGAAGAATGTTTCGGGTCCATGCAGAACCCGGCACTTTGGCTTTTGAGAACTGCAACTAATGTTGATTTACGGAGCAAAAGTGCTGTATAATGTTTGTACATACTTGGTTTGTCGGATATTGCCATCAGCCGTCTTTGCAAGATAGATGCCACGAAGAGGAAATCGAGCACATACCAAACATAATAGTGATGGGAAATGCGTCAACCTTCAGAGGCCAAACCAATACGGCTAATTAGTAACTGAGTTAAAGACCAGAGTTGTCGGCCAGCATATATTTATCTGTCAATGGCAAGTAATCAAATGAACCTATTATAGGAAAGCCTATAACATACATTGTACAGCACGACGCAGACAAAGATATTGAGAGGAATGCGGAAAAAGTTCATAATCGTGCTCCTAGCTTCCTCCAGGATGTATTGGGATCTCATGTTCATAATGGATGGCCAGAATATGCCTACACAAGCCTCAAAAGTGCAGAAGCCTAGAAGCTGGAGACAGCCTGCAAATGAGATACTTCCGCCTTTCTCGTTAGAAGGTGCCACCAAGAACTGTTGCTAATTCATCCTCGTCACAAAACACTTAAAGAATGATGATACAACATACACACAAACAGAGGGATGCTGAACTGTACACTGGTTATAATGGGAAGCATGACAGAGGCAGAGGAAATCACAAAAATAATCTGCATGTAGCTTTCTACCCTGGGTGAAGAGTGGACCATAAATCGAGATGCAAAGGAGCTTCCCAACATTGAAGCCAACATGAATGTCGCAAAGATAAAACCGTGAGTAATCTCCTCATCATTGGGGCCCAAAGTAGGAGTCAAAAGGAACATAAAGATGTACATCAAACCTTCAAAGAGAGACTGGATGGCGCCAAGCAAAGTAATTTTTTCATCTGCACTGAATATTTGGCAGAGGGAAACCAGAAGTAAACAATGTAATGAATAAATTCATTACGGAGGATGACTGATAACATGTAACGAAGCATCTGAGAGACAGTAGTTGCTTGCAACATGTCAACCTGTTTAATGCATTGAGTTTAAAGTAATTGCTATAGCAGCCCCCCTGAATTGGGTAAGCAGGTTTATTTTCTGAGGGGTCCCCAAAGTTTTCATGACAATATAATGGCCATCCCAATAGCAAGAAAGCATGCAGCGGCATCAAAAGGAGCCACAGGTCCAAGGGAAAGTAAATCAACAAGTAGGATCCCGAACAGCCCAGACAAAATGGCAACAAGGCCGTTCCCAAGAAATATTGCCTTTGAAAATGTTAGTGACAACCATTGTTGCTCGAAGTCCCTCTGCAAAGATTAGAAGCAGTAAAGAAACTGTCAGCAGAAAATTAAATTTAAAAGACGTATCAACATCAATTGCAACATATAAAGTTCATAGAAGACACCCGGGGTGTGGAATTGTGAAACAACCTGGCAGGGAGTAACAACATACAGCGTCTAATACACCAAAAAGAGAGAGAAAAGAAAATGAGTGAAGGACACAGAAGCAAACGGATCAATAATGCAAAAAGAGAGACAAAAATATATGCATTAAGAGTAAAAGGGAACAGAGGCAATGCCTCACCTTATTATCCTCCGCAACAAGCCATGACTCAAATGCTGAAAACAGAAGAGAGGTGGTGATACCTCCCAAAACTCGACTGACCATCAAAACTCTGTATTCGGGAGAATGCTTGGTGATACAGCTAAGTATGTACGTTATGCAGTAAGTAACACAAGCTCTCCTCCGGCACCTGAATTAAACACATGAAGATATTTTTTGTAGTTCGACTAGATGTTTCATATGTATGAAAAGATTACAAAAGAAGTCAAAAGTAAAAACCTACTGTTTGTCAGCTAGAGATCGAACAATTGTCCCAAACAACATGGAGGATCCAAAACCAGCAATAAAAAGCTGTCCAATGTCCCCTTTTCCAAAGCCATATGTACTGTAAAGATAGTAAACATATGGACCCTGCAGCCAGTCTCCAGCTATTGACATATGAACACCCATTTATCAAAAGAACAAGATGGACATATGCCCATTAACCACAGTAGTATAAGAAGGTGCGCTTTTACAATTACCATTACAAATATCTACAAGTAAGATCACACCACCAAAACCAATTAAAGTGAGCAGGTAACTACATAGGTTTTTCATTTTAAAAAAGGATTTCCAGCCAAAGGAAGTAATATGCTTGTGATGCAATCAGTAAGTCGTAAATGATACAAATTGAGCAACAATGTCATTAAAGACTTGTAGCAAGAGCTACATTAACCATACAATAAGATACTCTAACAAGAAATTAATACAAGAAAAATTGAACGTTTGTAAAACAAATTATTAATTTGTCAAAAGTTATATGAATATAAAATGCTTTAAAAGTGATTATGACACGAAAAGTATACACGAACACGATATGAATACATGAATTGGAAACCAGGCCAAGCAGTATTACTACATTCAGCAACAATTACACATCAACTCTAGGCCGCAACAACAATAGACAGTTGATCCCCATAATGAGGTTGTTTCTTTATAAAAACCAGAACCATAAAAACCAAGCAATAGTGACTATCTCCAACCCACAAAAATGCCCCAGATCCAATGTCGCAACCATAAAACAAAAAAGGACAGAAATCCACAAATCAATTATTGTAAATAAATTTTTCTTATACCATTTCCTTTTCTTTAACAAGCCAAAATAAATGCATGTATCCCTTTCTTCCATTTTCCTTTTCATGATGAGCTCGTTTTCCATTTCCAAAAGCGAAGCAAACAGTCTGTAACTTTCAAAGTAGCCATTAATAACAAAAGCATCATCAACTAACAGAAAACACACCACAATCACAATTTAGAAACACAAATCTATGGAATAGGTATCCAGATTCCAAAACATTAAAAAAATCGATCAGATTCCATGTCTACGTAAAACAAAAGAGAGATCTAAAGAACAGAACTGGAAATCAGATCGGGGTAAAATAAAAAATGAGGGGAATTAACATGATAGAGTAAACAACAAGGTAATTGTTCTTAAAGGAATTGAAAGCAGGAGATGTGTTGATTCGATCCTTGATGCTCTTGCTTAGCTCTAAGGCAGCCACCACCGCTGCCAATGCCCCGAACACCATTAAGTAGAACAGCTCCATTGCTGAAAACTACTACCCTAATCACGGTCACCAGCTGAGTTCTTCTTCTATTTCTAACAAAAGATGCATACGACAACAAAAACAACAAAACCCTATTCCCATATATAATGGGATAAGGGAAGCTAGGGTAGTAGGCTGCCCCCAACTCCAGGTTGAGAGCAGCTTCCGTGGAAGACCTCCAACATTGAGAAAATTAAAAATAAAGATAAAATGCAATGCATGTATAAATAAATAAATAAATAAATAAATACATAGTTGAACAATCTTCATATGTTCATATGCTCGTCTGTAATGGGGAGTAATCTCTGCAAATAAATCTCTGAGTAAAAATCTCTGCATATAGACAGAAACGTAAGACCCGTCTAAATTTAAAAAGAGGAAACCTGAAGAGAATGATACACAGAAGTCAACGATAGCAAGCTACGATAAGGAATAAAGTCAAAAGGGTTAACACCTAAACTAAGGCAACACTACTCCACTACCCTAGTTCTAAGCCTTCATAAATTCGAATGAAAGAAACGTATATAAAGTAGAAGTAATGGAAGTTACTACTAAGTCATTAAAAAGAAGACAGAGATGTTACATCCTGTGGTTGTTACCCGCACTACTCGGCTACCCTGGTCTTAAGCCTCTATACTTTCCTATTAGAGGTCATGTCCTCGGTAAGGGATAAATCCTTCAAATCAGATCTCAAGCAGTCTTCCCATTTCCGCCTTGGTCGTCCTCTCCTTCTAGAACCGTCGACTGTAATAAACTCTACCCTCCTGACCGCATCCGACGGTTGTCGCGTAAAGACATGCCCAAAACCACCGTAGTCTTCCCTCCCTCAATTTTTCGGATACAGGCACCACCCCAAGGACATCATAATAGAAGAGTTTGGTGTCATGTCCCACAAAGTCCTACCACATGCCCATCGAAGCATTCTCATTTCTGCGGCCTCCATCCTCCTTACGTGATCCTTCTTGATTGCCCAACATTCTGATCCATACATCAGCGCTGGTCTTATTGTCATTCTATAAAAATTTTCCCTTAAGTTTTAGAGGCACCTTCTTGTCACACAAAACTCCAGTAGCAGCCCTCCACTTTAGTCATCCCGCCTTTATACGGTGTGTAATGTCATCATCTACACCCATATCTTTATGTATCATAGACCCTGGGTA